TACAAAGCGACCAGCGAAGCGAAACTCTGAAGCTATACAATATGTCCTGAATGCCATTCAGAATGTTGGACTTGACAAGTTGCCAAAAGCTAGTCTGTCGAGCCATCAATGGTTTCTTTTTACCCTTTAAGGATTCGGATTGGTGTCAGGGTTGTTATGAGATAGTCATAGATGTAGGATAGACGCATCTAGCGTCTGATGTATTACTTCGTTTATCTAGGCGCATAGACCGTGACAAGCTGTGATATTTCATATCGCCGGCAAGTAAGCATCAGTTACCCCTATCTGTCATTGGCAATATTAAGTTGCAACCATCTGTGAATCAAGACTCAGAAATTGTGTAATGTGAGCAAGTGGTAGAGCTAAAAGCTTATAGATACTTCCGTTGGTAATGAAATAAACGATATATGTTACATTGGTACTGATAACCTTATTGACAAGGTTTGATGGTGGTTTGGGCATCTAGTCACTGCTGGGAGAGCTGTTGGCTTGTTTTTGCGATATGTTTGTCATAACGCGACAGGGGGTTTAAAATAGGCTTCACATAAGGTATCACTGATGCCAGTTTAATCCAGGAGCGGGGAATGGAGGGCACAGGGGTCAATTGTTGCTGTGCAGAGGGGTGAATGTTGCTGAGCAGAGGGGTGAATGTTGCTGTGCACAGGGGTGAATGTGGCTGTGCAGAGGGGTGAATGTGGCTGTGCAGAGGGGTGAATGTTGCTGTGCAGGGGCCAACGTTGCAGATCGTTGGGTGAATGCTGCAAAACGCATCGATAAGGGCTGCAGAACCTAGCGGTGAAGACCTGCAGAACGCTTTGATAAGGGCTGCAGAACCTAGCGGTGAATTCACGACCTGCAGAACGCATTGATAAGGACAGCAGAACGCAGGTTCGAAGGATGCAGAATGCAAGTGAAGGATGTAGAACGTTGAGCAACAGTTGCAAAACGGAGAAAAATAGTTTGCAGAATACTAAGGGGTGCAAGTTTTCGAACGAATGGGTGATGGATGTACAATGCATCCTGTAGGGTGGCCAAAGTAAGAGGGTACATGTCGAGGTGTATCGTGGATGAAGGGTGCACGGCATGAAGGGTGCATGTCGAGGTGAATCGTGGAGGTACGGCATGAAGGGTGCATGTCGAGGTGTATCATGGAGGTACGGCATGAAGGGTGCATGTCGAGATGTATCGTGGAGGTACGGCATGAAGAGTCCTTGTCGAGGTGTATCGTGGAGGTACGGCATGATGGGTGCATAGCGAGGTGTATCGTGGAGGTACGGCATAAAGGGTGCATGTCGAGGTGTATCGTGGAGGTACGGTATGAAGAGTGCATAGCGAGGTGTATCGAGGAGGTACGAGGAATCGAGGTGTATCGTGGAGGTACGGCATGAAGGGTGCATGTCGAGGTGTATCGTGGAGGTACGGCATGAAGAGTGCATCTAGAGGTGTACAGTGGAGGTACGGCATGAAGGGTGCATAGCGAGGTGTATCGTGGAGGTACACCATGAAGGGTGCATGTAGAGGTGTATCGTGGAGGTACGGCATGAAGACCGCATGTCGAGGTGTATCGTGGAGGTACGGCATGAAGGGTGCATAGCAAGGTGTATCGTGGAGGTACGAGGTATCGAGGTGTATCGTGGAGGTACGGCATGAAGGGTGCATGTCGAGGTGTATTGTAGAGGTGCGGCACGAAGGGTGCATGTCGAGGTGTATCGTGGAGGTACACCATGAAGGGTGCATGTAGAGGTGTATCGTAGAGGTACGGCATGAAGGGTGCATGTTGAGGTGTATCGTGGAGGTACGGCATGAAGGGTGCATAGCAAGGTGTATCGTGGAGGTACGATGTATCGACGATGTATCGAGGTGTATCGTGGAGGTACGGCATGAAGGGTGCATGTCGAGGTGCATCGTCGAGGTGTATCGAGGAAGTACGGCATGAAGAGTCCTTGTCGAGGTGTATCGTGGAGGTACGGCATGATGGGTGCATAGCGAGGTGTATCGTGGAGGTACGGCATAAAGGGTGCATGTCGAGGTGTATCGTGGAGGTACGGTATGAAGAGTGCATAGCGAGGTGTATCGAGGAGGTACGAGGAATCGAGGTGTATCGTGGAGGTACGGCATGAAGGGTGCATGTCGAGGTGTATTGTGGAGGTACGGCATGAAGAGTGCATCTAGAGGTGTACCGTGGAGGTACGGCATGAAGGGTGCATAGCGAGGTGTATCGTGGAGGTACACCATGAAGGGTGCATGTAGAGGTGTATCGTGGAGGTACGGCATGAAGAGCGCATGTCGAGGTGTATCGTGGAGGTACGGCATGAAGGGTGCATAGCAAGGTGTATCGTGGAGGTACGAGGTATCGAGGTGTATCGTGGAGGTACGGCATGAAGGGTGCATGTCGAGGTGTATTGTAGAGGTGCGGCACGAAGGGTGCATGTCGAGGTGTATCGTGGAGGTACACCATGAAGGGTGCATGTAGAGGTGTATCGTAGAGGTACGGCATGAAGGGTGCATGTTGAGGTGTATCGTGGAGGTACGGCATGAAGGGTGCATAGCAAGGTGTATCGTGGAGGTACGATGTATCGAGGTGTATCGTGGAGGTACGGCATGAAGGGTGCATGTCGAGGTGTATCGTGGAGTTACGGCATGAAGAGTGCATGTCGAGGTGTATTCTAGAGGTACACCACGAAGGGTGCATGTTGAGGTGTATCGTGGAGGTACACCATGAAGGGTGCATAGCGAGGTGTATCGTTGAGGTACGGCATGAAAGGTGCATGTAGAGGTGTATTGTAGAGGTACGGCACGAAGGGTGCATGTCGAGGTGTATCGTGGAGGTACACCATGAAGGGTGCATGTAGAGGTGTATCGTGGAGGTACGGCATGAAGAGTGCATGTCGAGGTGTATCGTGGAGGTACGGCATGAAGGGTGCATAGCAAGGTGTATCGTGGAGGTCCGATGTATCTAGGTGTATCGTGGAGGTATGGCATGAAGAGTGCATGTCGAGGTGTATCGTGGAGGTACGGCATGAAGGGTGCATAGCAAGGTGTATCGTGGAGGTACACCATGAAGGGTGCTCAGCGAGGTGTATCGTGGAGGTATGGCATGAAGAGTGCATGTCGAGGTGTATCGTGAAGGTACGGCATGAAGAGTGCATCTAGAGGTGTATTGTAGAGGTACGGCATGAAGGGTGCATTTCGAGGTGTATCGTGGAGGTACACCATGAAGGGTGCGTGTAGAGGTGTATCGTAGAGGTACGGCATGAAGGGTGCATGTTGAGGTGTATCGTGGAGGTACGACATGAAGGGTGCATAGCAAGGTGTATCGTGGAGGTACGAGGTATCGAGGTGTATCGTGGAGGTACGACATGAAGGGTGCATGTCGAGGTGTATCGTGGAGGTACGTCATGAAGAGTGCATGTAGAGGTGTATTCTAGAGGTACGGCACGAGGTGTGCATGTCGAGGTGTATCGTGGAGGTACACCATGAAGGGAGCATAGCGAGGTGTATCGTTGAGGTACGGCATGAAGGGTGCATGTCGAGGTGTATTGTAAAGGTACGGCACGAAGGGTGCATGTCGAGGTGTATCGTGGAGGTACGGCATGAAGGATGCATAGCCAGGTGTATCGTGGAGGTACGGCATGAAGGGTGCTTGTATAGGTGTATCCTGGAGGTACGGCATGAAGGGTGCATGTCGAGGTGTATCGTGGAGGTACGGCATGAAGGGTGCATGTCGAGGTGTATCGTGGAGGTACGAGGTATCGAGGTGTATCGTGGAGGTTCGGCATGAAAGTAGCCTGTCGAGGTGTATCGTGGAGGTACGGCATGAAGAGTGAATGTAGAGGTGTATTGTAGAGGTACGGCACGAAGGGTCCATTTCGAGGTGTATCGTGGAGGTACACAATGAAGCGTGCATTGCGAGGTGTATCGTGGAGGTACGGCATGAAGGGTGCATGTACAGGTGTATCGTGGAGGTACGGCCTGAAGGGTACATGCAATGGTAACCTGATATCATTATATACTCATAATACATGAGGAAAGTCCAGCAAATATACATTTACTATAGACAAATGACAGAATACCTAGTCGTGACTATCGTCGGAAACAAATTCCGTTTTTTGGTAAAGGGAAAAATAGCTGTGTACATGGATTTCAGGAAATGTATATTTATTTTTATGTATGTATATTTCTGAATGGAGATTGAATTGTTTTACTTTGAATCAATGAAAACTGATGGGACGATTAAATGGGACCACATGCAATCAAAGTCTGTGGAACTAACGGTCAAGCTGCCACCTTCCCAGCTATTCAATTGTTCATGATTTTCTTCAAAGTCATTTCCTTTTATATTGAATGGGCCAGCAAGTAAACTGATTCAATATTTGGATAATGAGACTGAGGTGTTTCTGAAGGATAGTTTTGGATGTCATTCTACAAGGTTATTTATAACTGAAATTATCTTGGGCAGGACGTGTTCATCGGATTGTGAGTTTATAGTAGCAAAAAGACATTGTAAATAGTAATAGAAAGCTCAGTGAAATTGAAGACATGTTGAGTATATAGCGTTTTAGACACTTAAGTGATGATGTACGCATTTTTCATGAATGGCTGAGTGTCGACAGTGAGTAATGTTTCATGGGGGATTAGAATTAGACCAATATGACCTTTACGGATTTTAGCCGTGTTGGCCGGTTCCTATGGTAAGTCCAGTCGCTGTGAAAACGTATCGGAACACCCAACGTTAACGGAATATCAATGCATATGCAATTTGTCTTTCAGGCATGTGTTGAGCCGGACGTTATTTACCCAACGGCCTTGAACCCTGTCCATCGACGGACGCCAGGACGTAAACCATGTGAAACTTGTCCTGCTCCTGAAAAGCGCTTAACGTAAGATAGCAATCACTCGTGTATCTGAGCTATCGCATCGTGTCGGTTTATGTTTCCTTGAAGCGCTGCCAAGCTGCAGTGTTCGCACGTAACTAGGGACAGATAACTCTAAGTAGTTGCTGTGGGCAACAGTAGACATTTTACTAGCCAACAACAAGTCAATCATTTACCGTCATTGACAATCAGTACCAATGTTTACAACAATTAAATGTCTTTTAACACAACATTTAGGGTTATACTGATATTGCCTGACGTATTATTCACTACCAATATGTTAAAACAATTAACTATCACATAACACAACATGCAGAGATATACCGATATTGTCTGACGTAGTATTCACTACCAATATGTTAAAACAATTAACTATCACATAACACAACATGCAGAGATATACCGATATTGTCTGACGTAGTATTCACTACCAATATGTTAAAACAATTAACTATCACATAACACAACATGCAGAGATATACCGATATTGTCTGACGTAGTATTCACTACCAATATGTTAAAACAATTAACTATCACATAACACAACATGCAGAGATATACCGATATTGTCTGACGTATTATTCACTACCAATATGTTAAAACAATTAACTATCACATAACACAACATGCAGATTTATACCGATATTGTCTGACGTATTAATCACTACCAATATGTTAAAACAATTAACTATCACATAACACAACATACAGAGATATACCGATATTATCTGACGTTTTATTCACTACCAATATGTTTTCAAGAATTTACTGCCACACAACACAATATACAGGGCTATACTGATATTGTCTGACCTATCTTCATTAAAAATCCAATACAAATGAGATAATAAATAAATAAACAGAAATCCTGTTTGAACGATGTTAACCAGTTGTTCGTTTCCCGACGAACTGCACAACTACATCTTTTTCAAAATGTCGTAGCTTTCTAAAGCAATTAAAAGCAGAAGGCTCCTGCAAGCTGTGTCAACCATGTCAAATGTCCTTCAGCATGTCGTCATAGTTACGTTTCTTGAGGACAACTGGAAGTGGAAAATGTCGAGACTGAATTTGGCTACTGGCAGCATTGCCACAGGACGTCTTGAAACTGGAAAGTCCCAGTTTGCAGTTGAAGGTCATTTCAACCTGAGTCATGGAATCGGTGCCGCGGCTACCGCCTCAATTCTAACCCAAGATTGTTCAAGAAGTGCTAGACCAAGAGTTACCACCTATTCACAAGACGGCTGCATCCGGGTCTCTCCTTTTGTTATGTGGTTGTGTTATTCATTGTGCAACAATGTTCCATGTGTAACAATTCTACGTAGTAGTTAGAATCTATGTAGAGAAATCTTAGTGATTAAGAAGGGGCGAAGCCACTAAGATTTCTCTACATAGATTCTAACTGACTTAGAACTCCACCTACTTTTGATCGACAGTTATGAAGTGCGGTCACTAGGAAGGTCATATGCTACGTAATTTCTTTACCTCACAAATTCAAATGTGCGCTCTGAAGTGGAGAGCCATGGACGAGCAGTCCGATTTCGCGAATTCTGATTTGCTGTTTGACGAACTTTTCAACAATACTGACTTTGAATGTACACAAACTGCAAGTCTAGCCCAGTTGCTGTCTATTCCATCTCAAGATTTTGTATAACATGAGGAAAGTGACGGTCGTTTTGCCCCACCTGTATCATCCTATAATATCTAACAAGAACAAAAGGATGCGAAGAAAATGCGACAAAACAACCAGTGGGCACTAAATGTTTAGAAAGACTGGGTGTAGTACCGAAGTCAGCATGCTTCAACTCTCTTAGAATTTGGTGTAATTCCAGGGGATATTTCTGCGTTGAATAACCGCGACCTTGATTTCTGCATGCAACGTTTCATTCTTGAAATACGGAGAAAGGACAAATCGCCGTATCCCCCTAACACATTGACACAGATCGTATCGGCGTTACAAAGACACCTTCGGCAAGACTGTGGCAGTCACGTGGACCTCACGTCAATAAAACATGAAAACATTGTTTATGTGTATCTTTTGACCAATCGGCAGCTTGCTAAATGGCCGCTGAATGCCGAGTTCTTAATCATTCAGAGCCTATTGACACAGGGAAATGGGAACCTTTGATTGGTTTAAAAAGTAGGTTGAGTTCTAAGTGTGGATAGTCAGTGAGAGGCAGTGGCGTGCTTTATTTAGACTTGTGCTATATATAGACAAACTTGAGGAAGGTACTACACGGTACTCCAACTATATAAGCCTTTCACTATATTCTGACCAGGTAGAAGGAGAATCTTCTGGTGTTCTTTTCTTTGGGACATATGGGCAGCTAAGACTAGCACTTGTGCGGAGAAATTCTTACCCTAAATACTCAGCATGGGCCTAAGTTTGGAAACTCCATCATTGCTGCTATGAGGTGAATATTACACTCTGTCTGTATTGCTGTAATCACTGCTTTTGAATTTGCCAGTCATTCTGTACTGCCACTGTAATCCCTTTGTGGTGATTTGTAAGCTGAGTTTATTTTAGAATATAATTGCTAATTACATCCCATCATTTAGTGGTTCGTTGGTGTCACACAGAGTACAGGCTGATTCCCGGTTATGTACTGTGTTAGTCTCAACGTTGGTGTCACACCGAGTACAGGCTGATTCCCGGTTATGTACTGTGTTAGTCTCAACCTTGGTGTCACACAGAGTACAGACAGGCTTATTCCTTTTTAAGTACTGTGTTAGTCTCAACGTTGGAATAAACACGTAACAGTTCTCACGCCACCGAGACTGTCAAACATGTGATACATGTGGGAACTTGGAATGTGACCTGATGAACGAACGCTTTAATCTCCAGGCTCTGGAGAGTACAAGATCATAGTAGATACAATATCCATATGTGGAATAGAAGCAAGGCGTGCGGCCTTATGAGCGAACACTTAAACCACAAGGCTACCCGTTGGTTCTACAGAGAAAAAAAAATCTGATTATACCCTTATACAAATAGAAGCTAGGCCTACTGTCTGTCTAGCAAACACTTTAACCACTGGGCTACCACTGAGTCTATGAGAACATTACACAAGTCGTACAAAGTGTGACAATGAGAAATATGATCGTCAGAGCGCGTTCGAGAACGATGGTCAGCTGTTTCCATTCATATGTAGCCTCGGCAAGACTGTCTTGTGATGTGATCCTCCTCTTGTGTAGATCCGTGGCCTTCTCTACCGTGTGGAGCAGTCGGTTGAGAACACCCACCACGTTATTCCCTCCACCGGGCTGACCCTCCGTCATGGTGGGTCCTGGTTTGTCTGCATCCATGGCCTCGTCATCAGCACGAATTAGGACCTGTGTGTTAAAATCAAGCAATAAATTCCGGGAAAACACAAATAAATACTGGTCACGCTTTCAGTATCAGTGCAGGTTTCCACCAACCAAAATGAACTATTTCTGACATTATCACAGAAGGAACATTAAACATACCATGTTCTCGTCGGTGGACTCTGGCGGGTCTATTTTGATGAAGAGGATCCTCGCAAGAATATTAAAGCACACAGTTTTCACAAGCCTCGGGAGTCTGTGTCCTCTCGCCCCTCGGTGATGGATATTCAGAGTGAACACGGCCAGACCAATACTCAGAGACACGATGACGATGTTGATCGCGAAGTACCGACCTACAGGTGAAAAGCCGATATTAAAGACATTTGATGGGGAGAATGCCAGTGTGATTCCCAGAAACAAATTCCATTGCTGTACATGGATACATTATGACAAGCAATGACAAGCAATGCACTCACTCACTCACTCACTCACTCACAAATGCTATGTATGCATTTAATGGGGAGAATGCCAGTGTGATTCCTAGAAACAGACTCCATAGCTGTACCTGGATAAATGATTATTTTATGTTGTAAAGCCGCACCACCGACTAGTATGGCGTATAGTATAGAGTGTACATTTTGCATCAATGTAGCACAAATATACTATCAATATAGTATAATGTAGAATAATGTTATATATATATATATAGTTTCAATGTTGTTTTGATGCAGTAAAAATATAGTAATAATATGGTATATATATAGTTTCAATGTTGTTTTAATGTAGTATAAATGTAGTAATAATTTAGTATATATATAGTTTGAATGTTGTTTTGATGCAGTATAAATGTAGTAATAATATAGTATATATATATAGTTGAATGTTGTTTTAATGTAGTATAAATGTAGTAATGATATAGTATATATATAGTTTGAATGTTGTTTTGATGCAGTATAAATATAGTAATAATATAGTATATATATATATATAGTTGAATGTTGTTTTAATGTAGTATACATGTAGTAATAATATATTATAATAAAGTTTGAATGTTGTTTTAATGTCAGCTTAAAAGTAGTATAAATGTAGGGTACGTGTGGCGTACTGTAACACATGTTAGAAATGTCACTCACTCACTCACTCACTCACTCACAAATTCAATTTAATTTTTCTAGTATTCTTTTAAACCGGGGACACATAATTGTGGTCGTCTTTTGAAGAGCCATCACTGCACAGGGCAACAACAAGATGAGCGAGTTAAACCTACTTCATTCACTCACTGAAACTATTTAAAACAAGAAACAACACAACGTACCAATTAGAGGAATCGCAAGCGACGTCGGTGGTAGCAATGTTGAAAGAACAAGCAACAACGCTATCATTGACAGAAGAGAAGTGATTCCAATAGATATTTTCTCTCCAGATTCGTTCGGCACCAGGAGTCCCAGCAGAGCCACCAACGTGATGATGAGGCAGGGCACCATGAGGTACATCAGGAAGAACAGGGGCCGTCGTCTCAGGGTCATTGTGTACGTTAATGAAAGGTATGGCTCCGGGCAACATGTGTAATACAGGACCTGCCGGGACTTTGTATATGAGATCAGATCCCATTCTGCATTGGAAATGTATTCAGATAAGGATGCTTCCCCTCGTTCACCATTTGAGATATTCAGTTGATCGCCATTGTATGTCAACGACTCGAACATCATCCGGCATTCTTGTCGGTCCATGGGAAAGGATGCAACGTCGATTTGACACGACGTCTTCAAGATGACCTGGTAGGACACCAATACGTTTCCACTTGACCTCAGAATGGCGTTGTTTATTCCGCTTGGCGATATTTGATTACCTTCGGCTCTGCACCGGAAGTGAATATAAATTACCAAACACTTTCAGTCTATATATGTAAATAGTTTAAGTGGCTTCAAACAAGCCGTTAACATTGAGCACTGAGGAAAGTATGTGTTCAGACATATCTAATATATACTTCAGTCACTTTAGCTCGACTGATAGCATTACTCTCTCTCTCTCTCTCTCTCTCTCTCTCTCTCTCTCTCTCTCTCTCTCTCTCTCTCTCTCTCTCTCTCTCTCTCTCTCTCTCTCTCTCTCTCTCTCTCTCTCTCTCTCTCTCTCTCTCTCTCTCTCTCTCTCTCTCTCTCTCTCTCTCTCTCTCTCTCTCTCTCTCTGGCCGCCCCCTTGGTGTAGTGGTTAGAGCGTCCGCCCGGAGAGCGGAAGGTCGCGGGTTCGATCCCCGACCGCGTCATATCAAAAGACGTTAAAATATGGTACTTGTTGGTCCCTGCCTGTCGCTCGGCATTAATGGGTACAACAAGGACTGGTCGGCTCGGCGTCAGTATAATGTGTCTGAGTGGGGTATTCATGCTTCACTGCGGCATGGTATCTCAGTGGGCTAGCACTATAAAACCAGCTTCAGTCTGGGCTAGTACATGCAGCTGCACATACACATACACACGCATGCACGTCGTCATATGAGCGAAATATTCTCAAGCACGACGTTAAACCCAATTTCACCTCACCTCTCTCTCTCTCTCTCTTTCTCTCTCTTTCTGTTCATCTCCCTCGCTCTCTTCATCTCCCTCGCTCTCTGTCTCTCTCTCTCTCACACACACACTCAATAATGTTCACATGACCGACAAAATCATGTTACAGTTCAGTACAGAATGCATAGTTCTTAAATTCTTGCATTCTGCAACTTAATTAAGATCCATATTGATATTGCCCGAAGTCACCCGATCAACAGGTACACGTGTTTGTAGAGCTGTGTTACCCGTAGCTTATTGCGGCGGGAAGATGAACCAGTCCCGGTACCAGTCAATTATTATAATTTTTGCGAATGGATCCAATTTTAACGATTTGAAACTTCTGAATGGTCAACCACACACTACTTCCCAACCTCATAGTATCTTGACAGCGTTTGACAGTATCATAGCAACGGTCATGTGACTAATGTGTCCACTGATTCCTCGCCATCTTTGCATCCTACTACATAATCCAGTAATGACCACCTCTTGATACAAACAATATTCCAGCAATATCACGACGGGGGACACCAGAAATGGGCTTCACACATTGTACCTATGTGGGCAATCAAACGCGGGTCTTCGTCGTGACGAGCGAACGCTTTAACCACTAGGCTACCCCACCGCCCAAGCCACCTCTTGAAGAAACAAACAATAGTCCAGCTTTCAACAGGTGTCGATGGTGTCGTATGGAGGAGGCAAACTTAATTCTTCACGGTAGGTTAAGACTGGTATAACATATTTTGAAGGCTTAACATCATTTCAAACAAGAGTGTTGCCTTTATCAATATCTAGTATAGTTTGCTAATGAAGGCTATTACCTTAAATAACATCGTATTCAAGCCAAGAAGCTAACATTAGTATATGATATCATTATGTTAGTTTTATAAAAAATAATAATATTAATAATAATAATAATAAATTTGATTAGATGATAATACATAAAACCCGCCATGATTACCAGGGTGGTACGGATATAAAAATATTTGACAAACATCCCATTCACAGTAGGATAACTAACATTATTTTAAACTAGCTATATTTTATTACATTGCACAGTCTGAATCCGTTAAAACATTTTGTTTTCATGGATATAAATGTACGTCCAGGATGAACTATTTTAAAAATACTCTCATCATAATACATATTTTAATTGACATCAGGAGGTACTTACGAGTTTTTAAGTCTCATGTCAGGCGTCCATATGGCGTCAGCTGGGACACGGATCTCTGTTACGTTCTTATGTTTTTCTGGTTGCCATGCTAACGATGCATCCTTCCATCTCTAGGAAAGGATGACAAAAATATACCTCAGTTTATGTTTTGAGTATTATTGCTTTAAGTCTGGTTTGTACAGTAATCCTTACATCTGCAGAAGTGGAATTAGCTTTCATAGCAAAATACCAATAAAGGTCTTTAAGAAACATATTATCACAGATCTACTTGCTGTAACCAGGATCATCACTCCACATGTTCTCACCTCAATGCTTTTGGCCCGGATGTGGGGTAGGAGTGATGTGTGTGTACTTGCTTATGATATGGGGTTGTATATAACATTCACATGCACAAAGCAATATATTTGTGCAAATCAACCGCTGCCTTTAACTGTTGAGAAGATAAATGCTGAGCACACGTTTCACACAATACATTGCCCTGTGTGAGATGTGTTATTGGTCTGTGGCCAGCCTATTGTCGTTGGTTTCGGGTACATAGTGACAGATAGTTCACATGAACCACTACCTGCATTTCTTTGTCGGGCTTACTCCCACACGAAGCTGGTACGTTGTCATGTAACCGGAATACTGTTCAAAACGGCGTAAAACCCATCTCTCCCACTCACTCACGCATACGTACCAAAGATATCCAGCAGTTTGTAGTTAGCACTTGCTTTTTCTCGTCCTACAATAATTAAAAAGGGATTATGACGTCATCAGTTCGTAACACTCCATATTTAAAATCAACCAAAGTAAACAAATGACTTTATTTGTTTTATTTCTGAAAGCTGAATCATTTTAAAACTACAAATATGTTAAGTAGATCAGCAATGATGTCCTTTACTACCTTTTTTCAGTATATAACCTTAACATATCATTTATCATGTTCTTATATATTGTTTTTCCGGTAAAAATGAAGACGAATTTTTCTGCCTGCCAAAAGAAGTATTTAAATGTGCAAATGATTCCACACAACGATGTATAATCTACTTAATTGTTATAAATGTTGATATTATCAAATCTGTAGCAATTTTCATAAAACATTTGATGTCCATTCTTAAATCCATCCTTGATAGTCTCTAGGGTAAACGTTCCGACGAATCTCCACTTGTACCCTGGATGCATCTGTGGCACGGCCCGATAATTGTATTACCTCCTTTTCTGGCTCCGCCTTCTCACAGCAGCCAATCAGATAAGCCGTTACAACCGAGCTTGTCAGTGTTAACAACGATGGCGGACGCAGCCGCGAAGGTTTGCTCGCTGTGCGACTCAATTTTAAGGAAAAAATCATACAGACAAATTGACAGGTTTGAAACTTTCAAAACATATATGCAAGAGCTCTTTCTACCTCTTTCAGGGTACCTCTGTAAAAATTGTGTTGCCAAGTTTAATCAGTTAGATAAAGGAAGCAGAAGCGAGTTATCATGGAAGCCTTGTGATTGGTACGCTCAGGTTCCCAGCATAGACACTTGATTGGAGAACACACCAGCAATGGGAAGAATAAATACATTTATCAGGCCGAGCCGTAGATGCATCCAGGGAGTTAGTGGAGATTTATCGGAACGCATAGCCTGGAGATTATCCAGGATGTATTAAATCACGTGTAAAACCTCATGTCACGTGACCAAAAATTGTCATTAAACATCTTCAGTTGTACTTTGGGCCACTGGGTCTCACCTACTGAATAATACCTGTCTGTCTGTCTGTAAACACATCACATTTTATCTTGACAATTTCAATATTAAATGTAAACATATCACTCTTTCTCTTCCACTGTTCAATATAAAACGTAAGCATGCCGCTTGTTCTCTTGAACTATTCACTATGTAACGTAAATATATCACTATTTCTCTTGAGGTATTCAATATATAATGTAAACATGTCACTATTTTTAATATATAATGCATTTAATGCCTAATCCATTATCCATCGTAAATGTTCTAACTGTGGTCAGGTATACTTACGATACCAGATATCTCTGCAAGCATGAGGTCCATCCTCACATCCAGGGTGGTGTTAGGACCAAAGGGTTCAACACGTTTGTCGTAAGTTCGAAACAAATCAGCAACCAGGCGTTGTTTGGGATTGCAAGCTGCAGAGGCTGACAACAGAACAATCTCGGGGATAAACAGGCAAAACCACCCAACGGGACAATATAAAAACTAGACAAAAGACGTGAAACAACAGGACATGAGCAGGGATAGACAGGAGACGTGAAACAACAGCACAACATCAGGAGTAAGGAGATCGGAAACACAGGGATATACAAGCGACATGAAACAACAGCATAACAGCAGTAGAAATGCGATCGGAAACAAAGGGATATACAAGAGACATGCAACAACAGCATAACATCGGGTGTGAGGAGATCTGAAACAGGGATATACTAGAGACATGAAACAACATCATAACATCAGGAGTAAGGAGATCGTAAACACAAGGATATACAAGAGACATGAAACAACAGCCTAACATCAGGTGTAAGGAGATCGGAAACACAGGGTACACAAGAGACATGAAACAACAGCACAACATCAGGTGTAAGGAGATCGGAAACACAGGGATATACAAGAGACATGAAATAACAGCTCAACATCAGGAGTAAGGAGATCGGAAACACAGGGTACACAAGAGACATGAAACAACAGCACAACATCAGGTGTAAGGAGATCGGAAAAACAAAGATATACAAGAGACATGAAACAACAGTATAATGTCAGGTGTCAGGAGACCGGAAACAGAGGGATATACAAGAGACATGAAATAACAGCACAACATCAGGTGTAAGGAGATCAGAAACAGGGTTATACAAGAGACATGAAACAACAGCACAACATCAGGTGTAAGGAGATCGGAAACAGAGGAATATAAAGAGACATGAAATAACAGAATAACAGCAGTAGTAATGAGATCAGAAACAGAGGAATATACAAAAGACATGAAACAACAGCACAACATCAGGTGTAAGGAGATCGGAAACAGGGATATACAAGAGACATGAAACAACAGCATAACATCAGGTGTAAGGAGATCGGAAACACAGGGATATACAAGATGCATGAAATGACAGCATAACAGCAGGAATAAGAAGGTCGGAAACAGGAATAAGAAGAGACATGAAACAACAGCATAACATTAGGTTCAAAACAACTGAACAACAACACGTAAAAAATAGTAACCGCCTTATATCTTAAACATTCAGCTACTTCTGACACCAAATATTCGCTTAAACCGGTGTCTAGTCTTCATACAGACACTGAAAAGATTTTATCCTAGAAACCTCATGCAAGTGTATAATATATGGCAAGTCTAGATTTCCACTGTTTCAGAAGAAAGTCTCTGGGCCCCTTTATGGTATTGTATGATTGTAATTTAGGAACTGGTTTTCTTTCTGTAAAATATGTTCATTTTAGAGACTAGATGTTAGTCTAACCAGTGACCAATCAGCTGTTTCCCTTAACAGTGCCATGGTCCAAGTATGGATGTTCAGAAGCCTAGATCCTCTCTCTGAGTATGTTTCGTGGTCCTGTAGCATACTACTTGGCTAATGAAAAAAAACGGCCAACGCCTTGCACAAAGCGTATACACTCTAGTATGACCTAAATACTATTCAAAGCGTTACGTTCACACACTTTTAAAAAATGTCCTTACCTAGCATCCATGCAATGACGAGAAGCACCGGTTTCACATCCATCTCCGGGAACTCAATCACGCAAGGCTATCGGTGAAGCTGTGTACACCACTGAACGAACATGAAACTATTCCAGCTATCAGTTTTGATCAGCAGATTACTTGCCAGATTCCAGCACAGATAGTTGCGGCCGCTGTTGGATTCGTTCTGCGGCAGGACGGTGACACGGTGGTATTTAGACAGCGTTTCGCAATTATTCATTTACGGTCCAGTGATAAACATTACTTTCTATTGCATATCGTCACGTGGTTGTAAATAGCAAAAGTCAAAACGATAGGGAGTTGACTGTACAATATCTGACTAATGACTGTGATGTTATCAACATGTTAATAACTGCATAATGTATCACATGGCTTTACAAAGTAATCCATCAACTGACTGTGTGACGGTGATAAGCGTAGCCTGAAACAGTGGACGATAATAGGGATGAATAGTCACTCCACGCTTACCTCCCTTTCATACTACTGTACATCTGTAATAATTCATAGGAGTAATAAGCTATTTCAACAGAACTCGGTAAATCTGGACACATGTCGGTGGGTAAACTTTGAATTTGATGGCATCTTTCTCTCGGTCCCGATTTAGCTACGAATGGAATGTGATTTAACCGCTGGTTGAGCGTTGTAGTTGCGTCAGTTTGTCGGTGAGTGGAGTCGCCTAGTGTGTAGAAACGTTTGTGCTGTGTACCAAAAATAGACCTTCGAAACTAGACTCCGAAATGAACATATTTTACAGATAAAACAGATATACAGGTTTACAGATATAATGAAAAGAAGCCCGGAGACTTTCTTCATTTTCAGACCTGCCACACATTCTAGACTTGCATTTGCTTTCTTTGATGTATTTGCTTCATGATCTGTATGATAGACTAGGGTAGAGGGGATGTTGAGGGGGAACCAACAGATGCTTGCTGGAGAACGACAATAAGGCGTGGGTATGAAACTCTTCATGCCCAAATGTCTTTAGAATCCGTTCGGATGACCCAAGTTCATTATTCACCTGGATCCATCTTTTACAAAGCGATATTAGCTCGTTGACTGTAACTTTCACTGAATACAACACAGTTACGACGCACATCGTAAGAGTTTTCAGTAATAGTTTTCAATGGCACCATTGGGTACTGGGCCGTATGCCGTAACTCTTCCCAGAGGGAATTCTGTGAGCTCGATGTTAGCACGGATATATCACATGACGATAAAAAGCCTCAAACTATTGTCAATATAGGCACATCAGTTGAGAATAGATGCAAACGAGATGGCTACCAAGGGAAAAGGTATCGGTGACTGTTAGTAAATGTACGAGTGAGTGAGTGAGTGTGTGGGTGTTTAGTTTTACGCCGCAATATTCCAGCTATATGGCGGCGGTTTGTAAATAATCGAGTCTGGTCCAGACAATCCAGTGATGTGTGTTATCTCTAGCCAAGCTCCTTGCAGCGAAACGGCATATGGTAATATATGGTCATTACTGTGGCACTTCCAATATAGGTTCTAGAGTGTTAATGATCATTGATATCATTCATAAAGTGTTTGACGTACGATTACATATGATGATTCGGAACCATGTCATGTGATGTTTAGATTCATAAATCTGTACCGACAAATATTGATTGAACTCAGTAACTAAGAGGACAAAAGGGCCACCGAAATTTGGTCCATTGTCTCTGTTAAATAAAGAAAGAAAATAAATATTAAGTCTTTTGATTGCTACTTAGAAGTTGTGAGAATTTGGTGACATTAAACCTTTTATGTTTCATGTCGGTCAGGATATTTTCATTTAGGATATATAAAACGGTGATAAGCACCATTCTACCATGACTTCAGTAAACACTGGATTGTGATTGGTTAATTAAAGTCATTCAGAGGTATATAATACAGGTCTCTGATTTTCCGTGCGCAATCATACATGGTTTACCATGATGCACTATTTTTGTCTGCCCACCATCATGGCGGACACCAAACAACCTACTGATGCATCGATAAATTACGGCGATTTTGCTGTCGGAAATTACACATATGTCTTTAAAGATGGATTTAGCGATGACGGGCTCGACTCACTACTTACGTAAACCACAGCAATAGGTGTTTATACATACAAAAGTACTTCGACAGCATGGAAACAAACATTCAGTCGAACAAGATCAAAATATCGTCAGCTTTCCGAATAAAAATTCAGCAAAAACAAATATGTTTACGTTGATTCTATGTTATGTCAGAATAGATCCAGCAATAGACTGCTACTTAATTTCCGTGTTAAATTTATTATCAGCTTTCGTCAACGATATCGCCACTGATCTTGATCCGGTTACGGAGGATGCATTATCATCGAACGCCGAAGAAATTTTAATGCCTTCCGTCCACATAAATAAACAGTTGGATTATCAATTCAAAGAAAATGATATTTTGAAATTTGTACTGTTTCAAATTTAGCGGCAGTAAAACACAATTACAGAATCTGCAAACCGTTCTGTTTAGCCCAACATATTTATTCTCTAAATATAATATCGTTGAAAAAGTAATTTAGCTTAGTCATGATCCCTCTTCTCCATTACACTGCTTGATCTAAAGTAGTCTATTAAAGTATAATTAATTACCTTACCGTGTTTATGCCAGAGGTACACCCTCATGTCCTGATCCATCCTTTCGGAAATATCACCACAAATCTGGCTCTTTGTCAGCAGACTCGCGAACATGCCAGCGAATCCGATTCAATTTGAATTCACTACACTTTGAAGCCACTAGGTCACAAAACACTTTTCAAAATGTAGAAAATAATATCCGTAGAATCGAATTTGAGCACAAAGTACACACATGAGTGTGTAAGAGTCACCACAGCTGTCGCACGCAGACGTAGAGGTGCGTGAAGTTGACAGGGCGCAAAATTCAACAGTATCTAAATTCGGTACAACACGGACTTCTCGTTACAGCAAAAGCGCCTCTACTCTTAAATTTTGTACCAGTACCAGTAATTAGATATCAAAGACTATCTCAGTCATACAATCAGGTTAACCTTGCACACACTGTCAGAGGCTCTCCTGTCGCATCTTTCCAAATTTGCACGTAAATGTAAACAATGACTTCCGAGAAAAGGTCAAGGCCATGAGGTTGCTGCCATTATTCTGGTGGGGAAAGGGTCTACTGTGGAAATTTCAAATGTGAACCAAGCTTTTTAAACTTATTTGATATATGTTTTCCAACTTATCAGTTAATGAATGGTGATTGATGCATTGGAAAAACAAAACGTGATTTGTTAATACTGAATCTGGAGTTTGTTAGTCATTGACCGTTTGCCACCAATCACCCCGTTTCGGGCGATGCAACTTGAGATTGGAATGCAAGGCCGCTTCACGTATTGACTGGTAACCAAAGAAAGAGCTCCACCTGAAATTGTTCATAAAATTGTCATGGTGGAAT